CAAACAAACAAACAAACAAACAAACAAGTCTTAAAGCTGTCAAGTTTGAACACCCTGGAGTTTTTCTTTTCTAAAGGGTTAGGGGTGCAAGGGTCTTGTAACTGGACAGCTTTAAGACTTGCGTGCTTCAAATGCCAGAGTTTCTGAGCCAACATTTTGGTTGCAAAGCATGAGCATTGTTAAGTGAATTTCATCACATTTTACAAGTTGACCATGCCCACCCAGTCACATGACTGCCAAACCACTCCCACTCAGTCACATGGCTGACAAGCCACTCCCACAAAGCAGGCCACACCTACAGAAGAGGTTCTAAAAAAATTTGAAACCCACCAGTGTATCAGACCCATCCCAAGACTCTGTTGATGCACAGCTGTCTCATCACAAGACCCTCACTTGACATACCTGAAGCCTTTATAAACAGAAAAACACTGACATCCCCTAAACTCCACTGAAGATGCTACCTAGCTGGTAATGAAACATTTGGAAACCAATCCACAAACTCAAAGAATGAACCTTCATTCTCATCCTACACCCGAGCTACAGATATTCGCCACTATTGCAAAATATATATTTGCCCATCTTCTATCAAACTCTGGGCAGCTCATGACCAAAAGATAAAACATCGTCAGTGTACAATAAAAAAATATTGAAATCACAACTACTAAAACCAAATCAAAACAAAAGTTATGTGAAACCATAATGTATTCTTCATTAGGTGAAAAATATTTTTCCATTGCTTTATATCTTTATAGAAATTTTATTAGTTTACTAAAGTTAAATCAGATAAATGGCACACAACCTGTAGCTCATATCTCACAACTTGAATCTGAAGCAACCATTTAGCTTAGTTTTGCCTTATAGGGTCTAGGACGTCAATTCACGGAGCTGGGGTGGGTTTGGCCTGCATGTGTCACATCTGGCATGCGGGCCACCAGTTTGGGGGACACCTCACTACAGCCAACAAAAATTGATTTATTGAATTGTTCTGCAGTAAATTGTTCCATGGCAAGTTGGCTATGGTGAGTTGTCCTTCAGCGAATTGGCCATTATGAGTTGTCCTATGGCAAATTGGCCACGGTGAATTGCCTGTGGCAAGTTAGCCATGACAAATTGGCCAAGGTGAGTTGTCCGTGGCAAATTGCCCATTTTGTGCCTTATACATAGTATAATTTAGCCTGCAGGATCAGCCAGGCCATGCTGAGTGCTGACATTCAGTCTGTGCCCTGTTGCTAATGAAAATTAACAGTATTGAAAGTAAAAACCAAATATGCGTAATTGCCAATTGTTGTTTACTTTGGTTCCAGAAGCTTTATTACAATGGAAAGGAATGGTTTTCATTGTTTGGAGTTTTTTCTTTCGTACTAGTTTTGAGCTGGGGAGTGATCTCAATTTTTTTAAACCCTTTTTCTTTTTGATCTTTTTCTTAGGCTTGGGATTTAATATTATTGGCGGGACTGACCAGCAGTATATTGCCAATGACAGTGGCATCTACGTTAGCCGGATCAAAGAAAATGGAGCTGCTGCACTTGATGGCCGCCTTCAGGAAGGAGACAAGATTTTAGCAGTAAATACTTTAATGGATACATCACTCCATTATATATGCAGATTTACCCAATCTAATACGGGTCTTTTCTAACTAATATTGGTATGATGGGAATGATGAGGAAAGCAACACTTACAACATCTGGGCAGGCTTTAACACAGCCACAATATGTGTTTGCCTCAACCCCAAATGCATAGAGCAGTGTTTCTCAACTTTAGCGGCTTTACGATATGTGGATGTCAACTCCCAGAATTCCCCAGCCAGAATGGTTGAGAAATAATGGAAGAGAATAATTTGTCTTCTGTCCAAAGGTGTGATCAAATCCATCCTCTATGTGACTTCTCTGACTAGGAGATTTGCCTCTGGGGGAGAATTAACCTTAGTAATAAGTTGTGCTTTTTCTTGAAAGAAAGGCACATGGAATATATGCTGCCAGAAACTTTAACTGTATTTTAAATATTATGCCATGGTAGCACAGTGGTTAGAATGCAGTATTGGAGGCTATCTACAGCCGGGAGTTCGATCCTAACCGGCTCAATATGCTGATATTTGTAAACCGCTCAGAGTACCATAACGCAATGTGAAGTGGTATATAAGTGGTATATATAATGCTATTGCTGTTTCTTTTTCTTGGCCCCACTGTCTGTGTTTTGGTATAGCGGTCCTGGCATACCAATCAACAGCGATATATGGCCTTCGGTCCATGAAAAAATGTATACCCTTCCTTCGAGGACTGCTTTTCTCTTTACAAGTATAACTGTTCTCCTTTGATATGAGCACATAGCACTTTATCCTGTGAAACTTATGCTAATTGAATTGTAGGAACCTACAGCTTTTACAGATGTGGGTTTTTTTAAGCAAACATTTAGAGCTATTACAAGGGCTGCAATTATCTCACACATCAGTGGTGCGTTCCGTATCCTGTTGCAAGCAGTAGGGTGCAACGGGGCCCAGCGTCCAACACATGAAGGTGCACTACGTGCACGCATACACAGCACACACATGCGTCCTTACTTCCTGTGATGCTCTGCGATGCTCCAGCTGCTCGGCAGAATGTTGCGCAGGCACCATATGTTCTATGCGCACGCGCGGAAGCGCCAAAGAGCTCAAATACAGGCAAGGATGGCGGGGGGGGCCCTCCCAGGCACCATACCGGAACGGTAGGCAGTGCTCCTGGCATGCACCGGTACGCCTGTACCGGGGCATACCACCTACAACCCACCACTGTCATACATGTAGGTGGGATTGAATTTTTGCAGGGAATTGGATTTTCTTTGTTGTTTTTCTTTACTATGTTTATGTTGGGAGACATGCAAAAATTGAAGTGTAATCTCTATCATAATGATAGGGAGCTGCTATCAGTTTTCAGTATACATCACCAGAAGGTCCAAAGGCTACAAAAAGAGGCTACAAGAGTCACAAATTACCTGCCTTTATTTTACAGCATTATGTCTACAGCTCTTTGAAGTTGATGGCATTCTGTACTAGCTCATGCTCTTAAATACTTAGATTCCATTCTGGTTTATACTGTTCTATGTACAGAATATATTCTATAAATGAAGTTAATGAAAAACGGGCAGTTAATGAAAATATAAGGGAAAAACTGGAGCCCTTAAAACACTTGGAATGTGTTACTTAAAACGGTCTGCACTAATTATTGTATTCTAACTAATGGAGTTGAATTATTCATTCTAATTAGGGTTTTGTTCTTTAGTGATGGTTTGGATCCAGGTACTTTTATGGTCAGTGCCTAATTGGCTTTACAAGTGTTTTTTTCCCAGGTTAATGATAAGGAGTTGAAGAACATGCTGCACAACAATGTTGTGGAACTTTTCAGGACAGCTGGAGACAACGTATCATTAAAGGTTCAGCACAGGGTATGTAGGCCCTCTTTCTTAGTTTTTGCTTGGTAGAACTTCTCAAAGGTGCTTCAGAGAATTTACTTCAGGAAAATTCCAAGCTACACCAGATAGTTGGATTGGCATCATTTGGATGAGGAATATAAATATTGATTTTATTTTTTAATAAAAATTTTATTTTCAAACAAACACAAACACACAAAACATATAANGGGGGGGGTAGTCTCTTTTATAATAATAATATTTCCTCACCAGATGGACACACACTTTCTCTTTCTGTTTTCCTCCCGTTACGGAGCTGTCCCAACTTCAGCAGCTTCAATAGCTGTGCTTCTGTCGCCGGCAAAAAGAGATTCTCCTGGATCAATCAGGGACTTTGTGATGTCCCTGAGATCAGCAGGACGTACTCTTCTCTGTCACCGTCTCTTCGGGATGATTTAGGTCCAAAAGGACCGTCCAGAGGCAAATGTATCGACTGCGATCTTGGAGCTCCAAGATCACACATTGTGTTGTTGCAATGTCAGCCCCTCCTTTCTCGCATCTTTTACTTTTAGATCTCCATTCTCCAGCCAAGGAAAGCAATGGGAAAGTTCTCTTGTATCAATCTCGAGTCAACCTAGAAAATAATGCAGCTGTCCCGTATACAATAGATTTTGTCTGAAAATTGAGATATTCAAGAGCAATTATTCTAAGAGACTACAACTTGAATCTGAGAAAACCTTCATTGCTTAAGGAAAAGAAATAGAGGAGTTGGGAAGGTAATAATTTCCCATGGAAAAACGTGGTAAATTTCTTCTCTATAATACTGTGCTCAACATTTCCTTTAAAAGGAACAGCCAAAGATGCAAATCAGATTTTTATCTAAGGAAAACATAAGGAGCATATAGAACTAGATTCTATATTTTAGATTTTAAAATTTGGCCCTCATTAAAAAATAATAATGTATTCATAGTTACATGGCTACACTACAATTTTATTATTGGGGGGAGGAGTTAATTTTAAAAAAGAAATTAGGAGGTCACATTATAAATCTTCCAGATCTCAGCTGTCCAGTCATCAACTACAGCCAGTTTAGTATATTGGTGAAAGTGCTGTCCTAGAAACCAGGAAACTATGAGTTCTAGTTCCACTTTAGGCATGAAAGCCAGGTGGGTAACTTTTCACCAAGTCATTTTATCTCAACTCAGCCCACCTTACAGGCTTGTTGTTATGGGGAAAAAGAGAAGGAAGAAGGGGTATTCTGTACATTTACCACCTTAAATTTACTTTATATTAAAGTAATAAATGTGGGATAGCAATCTAAAAAATAAATATCACTTTGAAGTATATACTAACAATATTTACTGTATTTATAGTACATATTCTTTTATACATACAAGCTGGGATTCGGATCCTGGAAGGAAAAAAAGTGAAAAGTAAAAGTTATATGGAAATAGTTTTTTTTTCTTTCCACCGAGTAAATATAGGTCAATATGGATCCAATATAAAGGAAATGCCATATTTTTTGGACTATAAGATGCACTCCCCCCCCTCTAAAAAATTGGGTGGAAATGTCTGCGCGTCTTATAGAGTGAATGTTGCTGAAGACTGCTCCTTTGGCCTCTGCCTCCCAGAAATTTGCCTCTTGCAGCAAACAGCACCTGGTCAACTTCAACACAGCCTGGTTTAACACGAGCAGCTGACTGGCGGTTGGATCTGCCTCCTGGAATATCACCGATCAGCTGTTCCAGGCTGTGAGGATCACTGCCGCCCATTGGGGCTATTGCTGCACATCGCCGCTGCCACCTATCTCCGCCTCCGTGCACCTCATTTTCGGCCTCCGTGCATCCCATTTTTGGCCTCCATTTGTCCCACTTTTGTCCTCCGCGCATCCTGTTTTTGTCCCGTTCCAAGGAGCAGGGAGAGGCAGCGATCCCCGCCACCTGGAACAGGCTGAAAATGGGATGCATGGAGGCCAAAAATGGAAGGTGCAGAGGCCAAAAATGGGGCGCACAGAGGCAGCGATAGGTGGCAGTGGCAATGGGCAGCGATGGCGCCACTGGGCGGCAGCAATCCCCACAGCCTGGAACAGCTGATCAGTATTTCAGGAGGCAGATCCAACCACCAATCAGCTACTCGTGCTAAATCAGGCAGTGCTGAAGCTGACCAGGCTATTTGCTGCTAGGAGGCAAATTGCTGGGAGGCAGAGGCAGGGTTGTTTTTTTTTCCCCTCCCCATAAGCTAGGTGCTTCTTATAGTCTGGAGCATTTTTCCATCTGAAAAATACAGTAATTGTAAATGTGTAATATGTTGAAACTTGAATTGTTTCATAAATTTTCAATTGATACAGCAAAACATTAGGAAACCTAATTCTTCATTGTTTTTAATTTTTAAATATCCTCATTCTTTTATTGCTTTAGTGCCATAAATCTACACATGTCCTGGGAATCAAATTCTGTTTTTAAAATAATAGAACAACTTCAGTTACCATTACATAGGTAAAGGTAAAAGTTTCCGCTGTCCAGTCACTTTTGACTCTAAGGGGCAGTGCTCATTGTTGTTCCTTAGCTGAGGAAGCCAGCATTGTCTGAAGACATTTCCATGGTCATATGACTGTTTTCATACTGCTAGGCTGACAAACTCAAAGTCTTTAACTGCTGAGACACTGAGCCCCTTTAACACTACATAGGAACTATTCAATCTTAGGCTACTGCTAAAGTGTTGATGGACAGAATTATACTTGCTAAGTGCAGTGAGAATCCTCTCTTACCAATATTTAAAAATTAAATTAGTAGATAGAATGGAATACTGTATCTTGTTTCACATCTCAGGCAGTGAAACATATTAGAGCAGCCCTATCTGTCCTTGAGGATATTTAGGTACACTCCGATATTCTTTTCTAAAGGAAACATTTTGTTTCATTCAGAAAAAAAAATGCAGTGCAGCAAACATACATAGCTGTACTCAATATTCATAACACAGGCTGTGCATGATGCAATTACATATTATAGACACAAATACCTATATTACAGCTATTTTGCATCTCTGGAAATAGAAGCATACAGAGAAAGATAGAAGTTCTTTGACATATGTAACAATCTTAAAAGGAAACTACAGTGGCATATGAAGAAACACACAATATAGAACAGAATATATCTACAATTGAATAATTGAAAATAATTGAATAATATCCCTTTAAGAACACAAAAGGAAAATAAAGTTATACATGGTGGATGCACGATGCAGTCCAGGGATGGATTCCTACCAGTTCGGATCAGTCCAGCTGAACTTGTAGTGGTTTGGTGGCCTGGGTCACTGGAACCGGCAGTGACCCAGGCCTGCAACACCCTCAAACCGGTTCTCCAGGTGGCACCAAAGGCACCGCCATCTTGTTTCTCGCTTCTGCGCATGCGCAGAACAGTTTTTATTGCACTGCTGCAGATTGTGAATTTCGGATCAGTCCAGCTGAACTGGTAGTGGTTTGGTGGCCTGGGTCACTGGAACCGGCAGCGACCTAGGTCTGCCACACCCCCAAACCGGTTCTCCAGGCGGCACCAAAGGCACCGCCATCTTGTTTCTCGCTTCTGCGCATGCGCAGAACAGTTTTTATTGCACTGCTGCAGATTGTGAATTTCGTTGTATGTGTAAACTGTGTATATACGTACAATGACAATAAAGTAAAGATTTCATTACTTGAGCAGTAGTATACTCTTGTACTGCGAGCAAGAGATGGCATTCTATAAAAATGGACAATTCTTGTCATTATTTCCTCTATGCGACATATATGTATGCCTCTTGAGGCTTTCTTTGCAGTTGCAGAAGATATTATGTGGGTAACATAACCATCATCATATTATTAATAATCTCTCTCTATGTCTTAATTAAAAGTGCTTACATGTTTCTTTTATTTCCCTATTTCTTTGCTTCTCATAATATAATCCCTGGTCAAATACTGATCGTCTCATTTTGTTGACATAGTATATTTTGTACAAAAAATATTTTGTATTTTTGTGTGGATATGCTTATCAGGTACTGCCTCAGTCAAATAATAAAACAACACTCCCAAAGAGTAAAAAAAAAATCCTCCAAACGATTAAATAAAACTCCAAACTGTTCCAAGGAAACTTGGAAAGTGATATTGTACTGGGGTTGCCCATGTATATAGATTTTTTTCCCCAGAATTTGATAAAATGCACACTTAGCTAAAATATAATACCAAAGGAATAGATTTTCAGTAACAGTTTAAATATAGTTCATTGGAAACCAGATTTAGATAGATAAAACAGAACAGATAACTAGTTATAATATGTGATAAGACTAACTAAATTGTTTATTCTCATGTTGTGCTTAATTATATCTTATGTGAGTGTAGTTTAGACTTCAATTCAATTTTTAAGAACTGATAGCAAGTAAAAAAAACACCTGTTCAGCTATATCCATAGTAGAAAAAACAGTGAAATTTTTCAGGCTACTCATCATGCTTTGCAAGGCATGGCCATCTTAGCTTCTCATTATGCCATTCAGTGTTGCATTTGCTTTCCTTGAGCTTTTATTTCTCTGGAATATTAAGTTAAATGTAAGTAATATTTGGTTTTTCCATCATACATACCCTAATATCAAGTCCAGGTTCAGTTTAAATAAAAGCATGCTTATTAAAAAGAGTAGAGTATATGAGTTAAGCCCATGCAGGTAAAACAAGACTATATGTGATTAAAGAGAAGTCTAGTTAAAGAGAAAAGAAGAAAAAACTAAGGATAAAAAAGTGCCATTATATTCAGACTGGCTTTATATCTACGAAACATTTAAAGCAAATAACACCATTTCATGAGTACTATACCCACCGCCCCATCATTCCTGTATGTTTAATCTGACTGGAAAGTGTGAAAACAGCATCAGGAGGAACAGAGGTTTCTAGAAAGCCATGTATATTTTGCTTAGGAAATTAACTTTCCCACCCTAACCCTAACATTATTAATTACCATGCCAAAAATGGGAGGAAATTATCTGATAATAATTTGTACTATATTTGGAGAAATATAATATAAACTTGGTTTATTCAAGTTTCTCATGTTTTAATTTTTGAATTGAGTATACCTATATCTATTGAAGGAAGCTTTAATTTTCATAACCATCTAAAGTTAATTTAGAACACTTGCTATGTGATCTACCTATATAAGTTTCAGTGTAATATTTCTAGCTAGTCCAGAATACTAGAAATCATGGATCCACTGTATGCAGGCTTCTAATATATTAATACTGCTTCTTTTACAATATACTCATGGAGTTGTGAAGCAAGATACTGAAAGCTGAGACAGAGGCATGGAAGTGAGAAAAATATTTATCTTAATAAGTAACTTAATTCTAAATCAAGGCAGAAAATAGAGGTTAAAATAGAACATGTTCCTAGGGATCATAATGCCTCGGACCCCCAGAACCGTGTTATGTATTCTCCTATTATAAATGACAGAGGATTACCTTATATAAATCAAAACATAACTCTGTGAACTAGTTTGCTTATCTAGATATGTCATTTATACCTACATATCACATACATACACACACACACACACACACACACACACACACACACACANGTTTCATTAATGTTGAGAGAAAGAAAGATCGCTATTTTTGAATTAGCAACTGCCTGGACTTATCCTTATAGTTTTATTGGAAAAATTTTCAGGAGAGAGAGAGATGTGGACATCTGCTATTGCATGTAGTGGAGTTTTATTTGATTCTGTTCAAAGATTGCAATACACTTTGTTTGCCTGCTTGCTTTGGTGTGATTGCAAATGCAAATGATTGATCAAAATGGTGGCTAGAGCTTTCTTCAATAGGGTGGGTGTGAAAAGGAGATCTTTTTAAGTTTTCCATAAAGCCAAGGTGAAACGTAATTCCTTAAAGGCCTCTCTCTTTTTCTCAAGTACAACATGGGAATCCCACTTCTCTCATTGGCATATGCACTAGATTTCAAAAGTAACTTGGCTGAATATGTCCTTGGAAGAGAAGTTTCAATTTTGCCAGCTTGAAGACATAGGTCATCCTTGATTTTCTAAATTTCCTTAGAAAGTTGAACCACCACCTCCTTTGATTCAACTGCTAAAGCCTTTCCTCTCCTTCTGATTGCAGCTACTGCCCCAGAATGGTCCCTCAAGCCACCGAGGAGATGGAGATCCAGGAGGCATTCCTTTGGCTATGATTTTGGTGCCAGCGTTGGCCATAGCAGCAGGAGCAGCTCTATTGTGGGGCTTCCTTCGATATCGACAGCGGGTGTGATGAGCATCATTTTCCAAAGATCTTGGTGTCTGGGAAAATGCATATATTTGTAAAATAATTTAAGCAGAAGAAATCAGCAGTCTTACTCTGGACTGACATAGGGAAAGGAGCAATAGAGAATCATTGGACAGTGCAGCCTTCCCCAACCTGGTGCCTTTCAGATGGTGTTGAATTACAACTCCCATTATTTCCAACCTGGCGGGTATCACTTTGGGAAAGGCTGGAGAACACTAAACATTTTGGCTGCTTAGGGAGTTTCAAAGTTCATACACTTAGAATCTGAAAACTGATGAGCTGGACAATCTGACTTCACTGACCCTGAAGAAAATGTTCCGGTCTTTTCTGATTTAATTTTTATCATGTGAGTTTTCCTGTGTTCAACATTTTTTCACATGTAGCTAATCAATGGGGCAGAGTTTGTATGTTATGTCCCCTGGCAAATGAGATAACTATCTGTTTTGCCACTTACGAAACTGCTTCTGAAACATGAAGGGAACTTCCGGAGCAACTGCAGCATAGTTATGCTTTGATGTGGGGAGGGTTGGATCTCAGGTGGAGTGAAGTGTCCTTGAAAATGCAAGAAAGCAGGTTTGCGTGATCGAAAGGAGCTTTGTAGATTGCAGACGCAGAATCAAGTCTGAAATTGAAAAGGATATTGGGTTTTTCAAAAATACAGATTTATCTTTGTCCCCTAGGTTTTCTCCAAAGAATATTGTCCATAGTAATGAAAGATGAAAGTGATAATGAAAACATCTTTCGTTAACAAGTAGAATATTTTGGCAGGGCAGGCTAAACATCATTTAAATTATGGCTAAACATAATTGTATTTTTGTAGTGGTTCTCTAGCTGAAAAGACAAAATATTTCCTCAAATCTGAGCATGGAAAGATGACTTATTGTCTCTTTCTACTCTCTAAGAATAGATAATTTCAAGTATTGTGCACAACTGATGGTTTATTTTGAACAATCAGGTAGAATGCATTGTTTTTATCTGTGGGTTGAAAGCTGTTATTGGAAAGTAGACTCTTGCAGAGTTTCCTTCCTTATAACTTGTTTCAGATTGGATAGTCAAAACATATTTTTTCTTAAATTGCTAAAGTGCCAGTTAGCTCTTTCCAGTGAAAAGCAATATGTGTTCATGACAGGTATTTTGTTTCATTTTGTTTGGAGAGTGTGAACTACATGTATGGAATTCTCTAGCCATGCAACAAGGCAGCAGTGTTTATATCAGCAAAAGTCTGTGAAACGGTGACAAGGTGGTTGAAAGAAAAGCTACA